CTCTAGAGGAAATAAACTTCCTCTGCACAAGGTGCTGTGTGACCCCGTCACATATTTGGACAGGTACGTCAGCCAAGCGCGCTCAATTAGAAGGGTACTCCATTTGAGTAGTTTTTCCTCGATCACACTTTAGAATATCGGTTTCTAAATATTTAAATGCCAACACCGGGTTTTTAAAACTTTGTTCTTCCACACAACATCTAACATCCCGGCGTCATCACCGACCTATGTAGTCTTCCAGAGATCCTCTTTAGGTTGTCTTAACAATTAACGTCCATTTCTAAAAGAATGTAAACACACTTACTATTGGTACAAATGCGGAAAGACATGCTGCAGATACGGAAATCCAAAATTACTGTAGTCTTTGAACTCTGTGACTGGCCTTGGAAAGCGGGCCGGGAGGAAAGTGAACCTAGTTCGACGAGTTCAAGTAATGCCAATATTTTCACCAGCGTGAACTGCAAACGGACTGAAATCCTGGGCTAAGAATGACGAGATTTCGCTTGGATGAAGGTCCAATCGGTGAATTCACGCCTACCTGGGTTGCTTCGGGGTGATAAAAGACTTACACGCGTCGGCAATTTGCTTTGTTGAAGTCTTCATGACATCCATCCTCAAGTCCTGACCCGTTTGGAGCAATCATTTCACTAATTTTTCGGTACAGCTAAGCGGATCACGTAGCGAAGCTAGCACCGACAGTCCTCTCGGCTGTGATAACCACCATCCGATGAAACTTACTTTAACGAAGCAGGAGCTACACGATGTGCTACACTTTCATTTGGTGGTGATGCGTCTCGCATGTATGGGAGTACAAGACGCTGTGCGTGACGTGGACATTGCGAGTGACAACGTTCGCGAATTATTTGCGGAAGGTCATGACACCGCAAGCAGTAAATTATCACAAACTGGAGTCAGAGTGTACCAGTTCCAAGGTACAACTCGATTGCTATTATAGTCTGGTTCGTGTGCGGGCAGGGTCTGAATAGTGCAATTCTAATGCTGCGATGCGATCATGAATTAGTGGCTGTGTGCACGACCTCAGTGTATCCATAGACTCATGGTTTGCTAAGCTTGAAAACGGAAGGAGGCCTGTCAAGCTGCCTGGTTTTGGCAGTGTCAACCAGCTTCGCTCTCACTTCTATACATTCAACACCAACGCCACAAATACCATCAACCTGTCTTCCCCAAGCCCCCATTTATAGGCCCTCAACCTGCAAGTATATAGCTATAACGCCAAGAACCCGTCTATCAATCAAACAATGCTGCGAACAGCAAAAGCCAATGCTGGACTTCATTGGCCGTCCTTCTGCGTATGGTTCATTTACATACTTAACAACTTTTGATTAGTGATGATCGAGTTTTTCATAGTATTAACCGCTAACCAGAGAATACTGTAGAGGAATATTTGGTCTGAGAGTGTATGCCGAGAATCATATACACATTCTATCGCTGTCTGGAGAGTATCACTATTTGGAAAGCGCAACATAAATACTTGTCTTTCTATTTAGTACATTTTCAAGTGATGGTGCAGCACACGTTCGCTTGATCTGGCGATGAACACTAAAACTGAAACGTAGTTCGATTAAACACCATAAAGGGCATCATTTTGGTTCTTCGAGAATTTTCCTATGCTTCCATACCCGTCTCTGATGGACAGTTATCGTCTGAGAAATAAGGCGTATTTCCGACGTGGACGACTCGCTGTAAGTGGAGCTTGCCCTGTGACCCCTGCAAGCAGCAACCAAATCGATGACATCAACCTACCCCAATTCAAACTCAAATTCAATCCATAATTCCAGCCGTAATAGCCACCACCACCTGCTCTTCACGAGGCGCTATTATAGCGGGCTCCACCACTTGTACGCCCGCCACTTTCGCCACCACTCTTGCGTCGCTCCTCTTCGTTTGACTCTGAAACGTCCAACTGCGTGAAGTCGTACGTGTTGGAGTTCTCAGTGGAATTCGAAGTCGAGTCGACCGCGCTTAAGACTGTGACGCATAAAGATGATTCCGTGTCGGTACTGTCGGCTCCCTCAACAATGATCTTCATGCGACCGGTGAAGTTCCCTTACTTGAAGGGCAATGACGCAACCATGGCATTGTTTTCTTCGTTGGGGGTCACCTTGAGCTTGTCGTTTCCCACACGAGAGTCTTCAGCGGATATCACTTCAGCGCTGGCAGCTAGTAAAGTAATTGTAGCCGCGAATACCACACGCATCGTGTTGACGGCAGGATGTTAGTGGATTGGCCACCGGCAATCGAAATGCAGAATGAATTCGTTTTCATGGAATCCGGCATTGCCATGTTTTAAATAGAAACGACGTTTACAGCATCTCATCCTTGAAGCGGTTCTCTCAATTTCCAGAGGGGCTTATGCCTGTTTGCAAACAAAGAACTGTCGCGAAATGTATGATGCTGCAAAGTACGATTCAATGAACTCGCTTGCATGAATAGTTGCAGGTTGCTCGTGCAGAATGACATGATTGAATTAAGTTATGTTAGTATTTTGAAGTATGTAAGATAGGGCAACATATTAATGACTATGACAGCAGGGTATCATGAGCTTTGGCCTCTTAGACTGGCTGGTACCTACGCCGGTGAAGCGCAACACTAACTAGCGGTGTGTGTATGATGTTAGCTGCTAAAGTATCTCTGTAAAATGATCACATCGACATGACACTCCGATGGAATTCACGAGCACTAGATCAGTCATGAAACGAGTAACCATCGCAATAGCTTAATTGAGGAACACGGCATTTGATTGCA